CTGTCAAACATAGGAGAACGCTGCTAGGCCAACGTGCACGCCATCTATATGCAAATCTAATCTAATGCAAATCTAACGGATACACTTCTTACGGATACACATTCACAGATTTTTTAAGCGATTCCAACCATTCCTTCTGGGTGTTACAATTTTCACAAACACCAGTGTATGTTGTAACCACAGACACCGTGTGGCTGCCGCGACTTACCTGGTTACCTGGTTACGGCGATCCAGCGTTGCCCCGGCTGCTCAGTCCGTAGACTCTTTAAAGGGAGTCATGCATGATAGGGATTATTCTCATTCAAATACTGCATTGAAATACATTGTACTTTCAAAGGTGGATTTAATGTAATCTTTGCTTAAGTGATGCCTCCCGTTATAATTATTCGTTAAAACTTCTTATGACTAACTTATCTTATTCGACCATGCGGGACAGAGTTCGTTGGAAGCATGGCGGCGTCCTTCCCGCCGGTCACGACCCCGGTTACGGGAGCGACGGCCCTTCGCCCTGGTGCTTGGCGCGGTGCGTTCAGGCGACGGCTGCGGTGGCGTGGGGACATCCAAGGGCGCCAGCAACGCTGGTCCGGGCATCGGCGTCGCGGTTCGCGGCCGCGGTGGTTACGCCTCGACCCGTCGTCAGTCTTGAGCTCGCGGTCGGGCATCCACAGTCATGGTCCGTGGCGCATGTCCTGAGTTAGCGACCCCAGAGGCGGCCTTCGATGTGGCGATGATGCATTCGGGGGCAGCGCCGCGGCGGTGCAGTAATGCATCCACTGGTGTCCCCCCGTAAGCCAAAGAAACTCGCCCTCATCCCTACCTCGGAAAGGCACTTCTCATCGCTGTCGTGTCCTCTATCGGAATGACCGAGCTTGCGTGTCGCAGCTACCTCCTCAGCTTCGCGGGTCACATGACCCTCCCCCGCTTCGTTTTCTGCGATTGGCGGGTGCGCGTCACGCGGTTTCTTCCGCCCAATTAGAGTCATCATTGATGGCCGTTTGAATCCCGCCAAATTCCGAACCCAAACGTCACTCCAGTTACGAGAAAAGGGGTAGGTGAATTGCTGGGTTAAGATACAGAGGCGTCCGTATTTCCCGGTGAGTCAGCGGATGCGGCCGGGGCGCGCCCGTGTCAGGACAATAGAGCTGCATTCCTCCGCGTTCCCGACGCATCTTACTCCCTCGCAGGTAGCAAAAATGCCCATTTCCTGGTTCCATGCACAGCAACAGAAGGGTTATTTCAGAAGTGATGACAACTATTTTATATATTCCTAATAACGCGATGCGCGATTCCGCATATACGCGAAGTTTACACTGTATACATTAGAAAATATGGTGTACACAATATGGGGTGTGTCCACCAGATAACATCTACGTGCATTGGTGTCTAGTAGACAACACATGCAAACGTTAGTATCGTAGATATTGTGTTCCGAGATAGAGATTATTAATGTTGAACAGCGAACCTCTGGAAAAATTGTATTCTTACTTGACAGAAATGCTCGTCTTGAGTGTCTTGCCGAGCTACGAGATGTATGGTATGATTGGGTGATAGGGCATTGGCCTATCGAATTGTTGCACGTTGGGTGGAGGCCTTCAAATGTGGACGTGTAGCAACTGTGCCTGCACTAGTATCTGTTATCGAATACTGTTTAGCAGATGAAAGGCGTTGGACTGTGGCGGAATTTGCCTCATATAGTGCTCCGCATTTTACGGAATGACTTGAAGATGCGCTAGGATTGTGCAAAGTGGATGCCACATTCTTTAACTGAGGTGCAAAATGGACTCGATTCGAGACATGGCATGTCAATCTGGAACGATTCCAACATGAAGCATCCAACATGGAGTATTCCAAGAGCGCGCATATACTTACCACTCAGAGCTGACAATATTCAGCGCTTTCCTCATCGTTCGCAAAGTTGTGTGGATGCCTTGGAAGATTATTTTGAATGTTGTTGGCTCATAAGAAAACATTTTTTATAATATTTACCATATTATATTATGCATACCGTTTTTGTGTATATGTAATACGAATGAAACGATATATTTACACATATTTCAATGACCCTTATCCATAGAGCCTTGTACCTGGATCCAAATTTAGTACCAGCACTGCGAAGAACATTCCAGCGTCTTTCAATCGTATATCCTGATTTATGTTTATTGACTGATTCAAAATAGTTGTCATTTTCGAAAATGGCCCTCGTGATAGTAGTTGCAATCACTGTGTCATTTTAAACGCACAGCGCCAAATGGTTACTTGGCCGATCTCCGAAGCCTAAACGTTGAGGTTCGAATTTACGTCGAAGTAAAACTTTTTTGTCTCTTTAAATTTTTTAAAAGATAAAGAAATCGAATACTTTGAATTCAGAGGGAGAAAGCCATTTTTATTAAAATATTTGAAATTGATTGTTTAATTTTTAAGTAACAAACGTCAATGAGAAAACTGAAAGAAACGCATGGAGAAGTGTATTTCTAGAGGTAGTACCTCATGCTCTCAATAAAGTTTGGCACCAAGACTGTAAACTCCAAGGGAACTTCGAAAATTGTTTCAACTACTAATATCCAAAGTAATTTTCTCTAAAACTATTGTTCCCCGATGGAACTGGCCGACGTCAAGGCCCTGCAAATGATTGAGTGGATAGTGTGGTTGCTTGAATACATTTTTCAAGAAATTCAAAATTTTCTCAGAACCTGGTTCTACATTGATATTTTCTGGGAAGAACAAAGCACATTTTTAAAATTGACGCACGTCGCATATTCGTTGACTCTCTCAATATTAGAAAATTTCATAATTGAAAATTCTTTCAACATCTTCCTACAACTAGAATATTGAAGATCGATATTTGTTTTTAGTTTATCGCACTTACTTTGTAAGACGAGAAAGTATTGTAATCGTGCATCGGAAAACGGCGAAGTTTCGACAGAAAAGCTCTTATTGCTGGGCCTCGATAAGAAACAGTGGTGCTACAATAGCACGTAGTTTCTTCCATTGATTCTAACTTCGCTGTATTATACCAATACATGAACATGCGAAAGTGTTTTAAAATGTAATAGTCTTCATCCAATATTTCTAACATGCAATGTTTGCAGTTTTTGAAAATACGGAGAGTTTTTCGAAAACAGTAGCCGAAAATGGGACTAGCATCATATTTTTACCGTTCGTTGATACCTACATGGGGAGAATTTAATGACAAAATGTATGCGGTATTTGAGAAAATATTTTTATAGAAATTGCTTACAATTCAGGTACAGATCACGCGATTTTCCCTCGTTTCTTCAAAAAATTGTACTCTAAAAAATTGTATCGGAACTTATTTAAGAGCTGATTTTTTAGAACAATCTTTGTTTAAGGAAAAAGTCGCATTCTTCAATTTGGTTGTTTTGAAATATCAACTTTTTGCAATTTTTGGACAAACAGTTTTCCGGAAATGAGATTAGCACCATATTATTTACCGCCCTTTGATACAGTGATTTTTGTGATACATACTTACCTGTCAGGGACTGAATCTATCTTTGATATGCGCTAGGGCGCGTGGGCATGGACACACGCCGCACCCAACCAGGTTGCCACGAAGATGCAAATTTGTACCTCTAAATAAAACGGGAGGGACTGAGGGCAGAGGTCATTTACGTGTTGGCTCACAAGACGCAAGATGTAACAAAGTAATAATTTAATGAACTAAAAAATATATTATTTCCATTTAGATCAATGACAACACAACGAAAACATTATTTCTCTTCCACTGAACCAAATGTTGTTAATATTCCTACTTTCAAAACCTTTATATATTAACTGCCTTGTTTGAAATCATTTTCCAGATAATTAACACTGCTTTCGAATTTGAGGATACTCTTTACCTTCTTGAATGCTAATGGCATCACAATGAAACAGGTAATATATTCCTAATATTTAAATCACAACCTAAACACTTCCACTCAATGTTTGAAAAACCCTTATAAAAAATTGAATATTTCCACAGTATCAAATTTACAGAACGGATTATGCCTTACAGTCTGATTGCTTGTTCTACTACTACCAATGACTGTTCCACAAGTCATTGGTCCCATATTTGTTGACTCTCTCAATATTTGAAAATTGCAAAATTGCAAATTCTTTCGGCGTCTTCCTACAACTACTGGAGATATCGTTCTGTTCCACTGTTATTGGTGAGCTCCTCTCCACAAAAGAAACATTACTTTGTTTATTCGTTACAATCTAGCCTCCGGAGTTGCTCTGGTGACCTTAGTGTCGCTTCCCCCAGCGTCGTCGACTGCTCGCTCCGCCGCCCCTCGAGGGGATCCGCACCACCTGAAGCTCGCTGGCTCCGCACCACCGCCCGCAACGTCTGGTTGATGGAATTTTCACATGTGCAGACAATACAATTCCCTCGTGAGATCGCAATACACTAGTATGTCCTTCACGCGAGAATGTGGTCGGTGATTCAGTCATACAGTCACAATAGCCACGTATCGTCAAAATATGTCAGTCTCCAGTATATTACATGCCTTAAATAAGAACCAGCAGCGTAGTTCGGGGGTCGTAGTAAGTTCTAAGTACAAAGGTTTTTAGTGACTTTACCCCACCCGCAGTCAGACTGGCAGTGGCGGCCGGCGTCTTCTCGCTGCCGACTGCCGCATATGACGTCGGCCAATCCGCGTTCCGCTGAACGTTCTGAAGTCGCTCTCTATATAGAGAAGGGGGGAAAATACCTAGAACGGGGGAGTGGGTGCATAGCGGACTGAATAGCCCTTCTCTTTACAAAGTAAATTGTAGACCGCACCGGGGGGAGTTACGGGGAGAGTCTGTCCCGCAGCTTGCCCTAGGCACGCACCTGGCCCTAGGTGGGCCTTGACAGCAGGAGTGTGCGTGCGGAACACACGGTCTCTCGCCAGCAGGTGACTGACGGTGTGAGTCGGGTCTGTCCGTACCGCACTGTAGTACCCGTCGACGGCAGGTTCACAAGCCGAGGACAGCGGTTTGACGTGAGCGAAGCGCAACACATGAAAGTTGCTCGTGATCGCGGAGACTGCTCAGCGAAAAGTCCGTGGGCAGGCGGTGTGGCCTGTGCCTCTCGCGGTGGTTCTCGCAAGTCTGACCTGGCACAAGTGAACGTGCCATTTCCAGGGTCGAAGGCTGCAGCCCCCTTCCGGAAAAGCCAGGGTTGTTAGCCGCCGGACCGGAGGGAGAGGCCGGCGGTGAGGGTGGCAAGCTGTGGGTGCGCCGGGCGCACCCGGCGGGAGCGGCCGCCTCCGGAGGGAGGGAGCGAACACCCGCCTTTGCGCGAGGGCTTTGTGTAGTGGACGGAACACACTCCTAAGCCTGTTTTACACGGTCATTTTTGCATCCTTTTTTCGTCATTCAGCACGAGCACTGCAGATGCAGCCAAGACCCGACTCCCCCCACGGGCCCGCTGTCTTTTCAAATCCACACGAGTAGGCGGGGTCTTTCTGTCAATCTGAGCCTCCGATTTCCATGGCTTCCGTAACCCGTCGGTCACATGCTTGCACGGGAACTTTCTATCCCAATAAAGTTTTTGAAAGCCTCCCCCCTCCCACGCGGGGCAATGGGCACCGGGGTACCTCTTCGCCCCAGCTTGTGGCTTGGCCGCGCACAAGGCGACACATGCGAAACTCATTGATTGATTGTTTAGTGATTCCGGTCACGTCAACTAATGTAATTCGTCCCGTAAGTGTATCACATGTTTTTGCTCGGACGGTGGCGGTGACCTTTTCCCCGCTGTATGGCGAGATTCGGCGCCTACTTACTGTCGGCTAGCGGGATTTTCCTCAACAGGTTTCTCCCACCAGCGGAGCACCGCCCCAGCCGGGATAACTCCTAAACGGTCTCCCGGCATGTGTTGTAGTGTAGGGGTACTTCTCCGAATAAACCTACCGATCAGAGCAGCCGGCCCCAAAAATTCTCCTCCAGACATCGACTGAATTCGACCTAGCTAACAAGTTAGAGTCGAAAATCACACCACCGGGACTCGAACCTAGCATCTCCCGATCAGAGGGACTGCAGTGACACGAGTTGATGCCGTGAGCCATCTCTCCCTGTCCAAACTCATCAAGATGCGCGTAATCATAGCTTTGCAAGAAACGTCCCAAAACAGTGTTTGCAAATTCAATGCTCTGTGCCGCCTCAGAAACCTTCTCTCGTGCTCCGCACCGAGCTGAGGAGCAAAGGAAGTGCCCGACGCGGCGGCGGGCGCACAGTGTTCCAATGACGGTACGGAAGTGGGGGGTTGGAAGGTTCGCTTGGAAAATGGATAATTTCGTTCTTAAAATGATAATTATTATTTAGAATGGTTATAGAATACTAATATGAAGACTGAAATAATAGAACATAGATTATTACATAACTCAAAGCAATATCCTACTCTATCACAACCAATACTGTAACTCCACATCTATTTTTCTAACACGCAACATTTTTAGAGAATGCAGCTTTTTTATATTTTAGAACAATAATACTTCATATAATGTTATCTAATATAACGATTTTCCCCCTGAAACAATAATAATGTTAACACATAATTACAAATAGATACCCAGGAGGGGTCACGCGAGAATTTGGACTGCAGGCCTGATTAGTTAATTTACAGTTTTGTTTGAACATGCTGAAAATCCTTCTGGTTTTCCGTACATTTTCCATAATCTGTTTGCTAATCCTTTACTCATCTCATTATCACAGGCTCTCTGTTTATTATCAGGATTGATATTTATATCGCCGGTTCCTCTAAGTCGCAAGGCCTCAGTGTAATGCCTCTGTATGTTAGACTTTTCAACATATTGCATAGTATGATGATGCGCTCTGAGGAAGGCCACGACGTGTTGGCCGAATCGTCAGCCACCACGATAGTGACGCGGCTCGTCCCGGATAGCGTAAACAATTGTAACTCTGTCATACGCAATAACTTGGTCATTGTTCCAGTATCTACCAATAGTAACCTTTCATCCCAAATCGAAAGAAGATTAACAGGCGTCGATAATGTCTCATGTGTCCTGAAACTCTGGCAAAGGTCCATTGACAAGGTTTACGTCACCGGCGACCGCAGTCTGTCAATCTCCCCCCTCCACTCCTTGCTCACAGTGCGCCTCCGAGCGTATTCTCAGAGGACAAGGCTGCTATGACATCATTTCATCTCTAGTTAGCAAACGCTACCTTAGAAAGTGCTTTCTGCCCGCGTGGGAAGCTTTGTGCCCACCTGCGCTGTGGTTCATTCTAATATTAAATGGTGTGCTGTTACATTGCAAAACTAAGTTATACTACTATGCAATGCATCAAGTTTAGTGTATAATTTTGTAAGTTAATAGTGTCTTTCGTACGCTTGAATGTGTGAAAAGATTCTTCTACAAAATTAATATCTCCATCTAATGTTGCCGGAGTGGCGCTTGAGATAATGGGTAGCGTACACTTTTCATTGCTTTGGGCCCCGTTTCGCCATTTGGCCAACCCATGTGGCATTTGTTGCAGACAAAAGAGCTCTAGGCAGGTTTTCTCGCTTCCCCCGTTTCTCTTAATACTCATTCCACACTTTCTCCATCACCATTTGCATCTTCATTAAATAAATATATCTAGTATTTCTAGTGAAATCTAGTATTTCCACATCACACCAACTCAAATTATGTCCATGGGTAATTCTATCAACATTAGAAACAGTCTTTATTTTAATCAAGTTTTGATATTGTTCTTTATTACCTGTATTCTAGAATGAAATGCCAATATAGCAGGTGTTGCAATTAATGTCTCTCCAATATACCTTACAGTGTCTGCGAGACCTTTTGGTGTACCGTATGGTTTTCCTTTCTTAATGAGTTTCTATGGTCAATAATTGGCTTTAATAATAATTTTTGTTAGCATTCTATAAACTTTTCCATTATTTATTACAGAATGGAAACGTTGAGATAGTTTTGATGAATCTAAATCAGTGATTTATATAAAACATTCGAATCATGTAATTTTGATCCAAAATTTTAAATTCCTGTCGTCCGGCCCGGCTCATTCCCCCAATACTGTTGTCCATTAACATACGCAACACTATTTTATATCGAACTTCTTCGGAATAAGCGTTCTCAGAACGATTATTCCCAAGAACTTCCCTAACTCGAATAACAAGCGACCGACATATCCGACCGATATATTTTATAGACGTATATATGTGTCTGTATATGTACCCATTCTTATTATTGTTTTCTTACCGAAACCCAAACTTTGGTCCTGTTATGGCGAAATTCGTGTCAAGTGAGTTCGGGAAAAGGAGGTTTTACTGTAGTACAACATTTTCTTTCAAAAGATTCTTTCATACCACTGGATATACGTGTACGAAATGTAGAAAAGGCTATCGAGTTTGAATTTTTCATGAACGTAATTTGTTGATGTTCACAGAACGACAGTATTTTCTCAAGTATCACATTGCAAGGAAGCTGGCGAATGAAGTGAACGTCTCTAGGCATGAAGACAAACATATTCGTCTTGGGCATTATACAGACCTAGTGGATGTGCCCGAAGTTTTGCACGATAAATACAAGGTAAGAATATATTCTTTTGAGAATCCATTTTCCTGCGATATTTATTCTAGTGTACAGTAATAAATTACTCACTAAAGTGAATTCATGAATTTCAAACAATATTCCAAAACTGATCTGTTGCGCTTTTTCGAAACGGCAAAATGGAACTTCTTATCGAGGCGAAGGGACATCGTTTTGCTAGAAAAATAAATAAAACCTTTCACGTGCTTTGAGGGTACTGCAAATATGTAAAATGAAATCAATGGTGTTACATGATACAGACTTAATCGTAATATTTGAAACGATTATGTAAGATGATCATTAGATTGCTAATAGTGTTCTACAATTTCAGCTATTGTGTATTTATTAAATTGCTTGAAACATAACACATCAGTATCTTCTACAACTCACTTCCTAAGTAAAATTTACCTTTTTGCCATACAGAGACAATAAGGTGCTTAGTAACACTTAAGTTACTTAACTTGACTTTCAACAGCGTTTATGGCCATAGCATTTGAAAGTTTCTTTAACTTCAAAAACGTTTATCCTCCCACCCTCTCAATTAATACAATGATGAAGTTACAATTTTTGTATTATTTATATTGAATATATTGTGTTTTATGAAATTACGTGGATGGTTTTACATTTTCTCAATATTTCGGTCTCATAATAGTTAAATTTAACTACACTTTCAGAATATCATAGAGAACATACCGTAGTATATTTTCAGTAGTGTTCAGTAGTGTATTTTCCGTAAGTATATCTCTGTTTCTCAATTCCTTCTCTCCATTTACGTGCGCTGTCCAACAGGCGTTGGTCCCCCTCGCTGGATGTGACGGGCTGAGAAACATCCCTTGAACGACTTCGCTTCGTTCGCGAGGTCATTCAACTCACGGCCATGCTCTGTGAGCAAGCTGTGTGGTTTTGATTGTGTGAGATGTGAAATTGCCTCTCACATCACGGACTTCTGAGTTCTCATTGGCGTTTGTGTATCCCCTCCCAAAATCCTTCCATACACCCTCCTTCGACGCACACTTCGGCAGCGGACCCGGGAATCCCAGACATCACGAGCCACGATTGTGGACCCCAAAGCGGGGAGCGGGGGACAGTCGGCACAACTGTCTTTCTCCACAACTCACGCAAGGCTGCCAACTATGCCTAAGCACAGTGATTAAGTAGAGCTGGATAAGCAGGCCTGGCTAAACGAGGTCACTCCCTTCTTGTAAAGAAATAGTACGATAGGGACAGTCCGTGAAGCCGAAACAGCCCGTGCGATGTTATTTCGTTCGTCATGTGTGTCGTACGTTGTAGTGTAAATGCTGTTTCATACTAAATGTGCCTTAAATAGACTACTTTGTCTAACTAAATCCATTGAAGCGAATCTGGTATTCGAAATTGTAACGCGTAAGAAAACTTTTGTGTGAGTGTGTGTGTGTGTTTAAGGACCCAACATGCGCATCATACTGTTCATTTGTCGTAGTGGATGAGATACTTGTGGCAGGAAACAGTCGTGAAACGTTTCATTATGCTATAGACAGGATTCTTCAGATTCCTTTTAGTTTTTTCTCCTTTTCCGAAAAACTTAGGGCAATTAGTTATGGACAATCATTAAATATCCCCACAAATCTGAAGAATTGTGTGCGTCATTTTAGTGGTAAGGTAAATGAAGGTGATCATTGGATTTGCGAGTGTGTGATTAAAAACCAAATGTATTGTTGGACGACCTTCGGTCGAGGCCTCACTTCAAGAGAAGTGACCGCTGTATTTGCCATAAAAGAGCGGCGAATAGATCTCGAGTTCAAAAATTAGGTATGTGCTTATTTATTGTGCAATTTTTTTGTTTAATTGTTTTGTTAATGTACGTTAGTGCATGCAATGGTAAATTGGAAGGAATTTTCAAGGAAGATTCAGAAGGTTTTGTAACCTTAACTTCCTTACCTCGTTACCTTTCTTACCATGCTTACCCGTCTGTCAGTTTATAGTGAGCAATCACCTGCGTGGCCACATGTACAGATCCGGCAAGGATTAAGCAGGCATGCATGCACGGGTTTCCTGGTCTTCCCTACCATTGAAAGAATCTACTTTGAATTAGTCTAACCTTAATTCGATTCCAAACCTCACCCGTAGTAATCATTCCCAATATAAATTTGAATTACGCCTACGCGCCCTTATGATCTAATTGTACATCTTCATGCCTCTCTCACAGTTTATGACTAATCTGCGCATTGGTGGGCTCCAGAAGGGTGGTGAGGGATCGGTCGATCGGATCCGGGCCCTAAGTGCGGCGTGTGTGCGTGCTGGCCTCACCCGCCCTTCGGCGGTCGAGCAGCGGAGCGAGCGCGACCCCAGGGGAGATGGCGCGTGGCGTCCGCGGTCTCGCCTTGCGGCCACCGCTCCCACGCATCACCTCGCTCGCCCACCACGTCGAGCGTGGGCTCGGTGAAGGTTGTGACCACATCGGCGAACTCATGGAACGAACTCGGCGGCGATTTAGCTGATCAACCGTACGGGGAAGCAGAAGCTCGGTGAACAGGTTCGAGAAGCGGCATCAGTGAATACATTTCAGAAAAGCCGAAGCAGAAGCTCGGCGCACACTTATGAGAAGCAGCTCGACGTAAAACAATTGTTAACTTCGGATCTCCGGTATTTGTTTTCGCGGGCCCTCTCCCCCGCCGATGACGCGTTGGCCCCCGCCAATCACGTACCGGTTTGGTCCCGGTACAGGTCCCGTGACTTGTCTCGTCTCTGCGCCACCTCATGTTGGCGAATACGGATCTTCTGAAGTCACGGCGCTACCGAGAGTGTGTGGGCGTACACAAAAGGGCTCGGCATTATTTATCACAGTTCTTTCTCGATTAAGTGACCGCCGACGCAGTTTTCCTCGTTGGCTGCACGAATTTTGTCATCTTGAAAGTATCCAGCGTTTTGCGTTGCTAGATGCGGTTCCGAATTATATTCTTCCGCTGAACGGCTTGTAAGTGGGTAATTATCTACAGTAGAACATAGCTATGCGCAGTTACAGTATCTAATTTGCAAAATAAACTTTTAAAATACTTCAGAGTAAAGTAGAATGACGTAGAATTTAAATATTTGGAATTATGTGTTCATCCTGTAATATCATGATCGCATGTCTACTAGCCAAGAGACGCCACTGAATGACACAATACACTTATTGAATCAAAAAAATATTTATTGCAGTTCGCGATTCACATAACGTTGCGGTTACAACAAATCGATACTTCCCTATTTGATATTCTACTCAGAATGTCTTATGTGAATATCGTAAAATAAAATATTAGTCAGCAGCACCCTTGCTGTAAGTCTTTATTTACAGGAAATTGTTCGGATAAGTTTCTATCAATTTTAATTTGACGTATATTTCTGTTGTACAGGACTTTAACAGTGTTTAGTAAGTATATCTTTAAGTCTCTTTGGCCATCCAGAGTTAATCTACTCTGAATTGCCAAAGAGACTTGGCGGCAGAGAATGGAAAAGTGCTATAAGTTTTTCTAAAATCATGAATACCAGGTGAGTTTCTGATTACAGGCAAGCCGTTTCTCGGCCACTCGTTAGTTCATGAGAATCCAGCTATAAAGCAGCTGTTCTTTACTTAGAGGATATCTTTCAAGACGGAATCTCAGTATTTTTCCATACACTCGGCCAATACCACAGAGCCTTGATATCTATAATATTCATATTGGTTTTCCACTAACTTCTAAAGTCTTCTGGCAGCATCTTTTTCTCGTTGGCTGCACGAATCCTAGCATCTTAAAAATAGCCAGCGTTTGGCATAGCTAGATGCGATTCCGAATACTATATTTTCTACTACTACAGTTGGCAGAGATATTCAAGAACGGAACTCAAGAAAACGTGCGCATACTCCCCCATACGTCACATAGAGTTTCTACTATTTGTTTGGTCTTCAGTCCGTTGAAATAAGAGTAGCATACGTAATCATGAAGAAACTTAAGTTAGGGATCAGCAGCGCATATAAGGTCTGATTTTCTTTCTGAACTTTGTTTCAAATATTATACCTTATCGTTAGCAGGCATCTGTTTGTTGTGGCCTTGTTGGTTTTCTTGCATTCTGGTATTGCCAAATACTTTTTACCAGATCTGAAAGTAATACTATTTATTTGAGGGAGAATTTAAAGCTCTTTTCTTCTTTCTATTTAGTTCATAAAAAATTCAACGCTAGCGATATGAAAACACAAACACTCGTAACACTCGCCACACAGGCGGTACCAGCTAATAACCAAGTTGGTCAAACCAACGACAATCAGGAAAGCGACTCCAGTTCGAATTCATCGTTTTTCAGTTGTTCGCGCATTTCCGCTGGTTCAGGGCAGATTAGTTTCTCTACCGAACGTCTAGCATTCGTTTACCTGAACTGTCGATTAAGTTTAATGAATAACTGAAGTGTCGCTAAACTGTTCACATTCTGAACGGCGGTTCGCTGATCTGTACTTTAAGCTACATCTTCAACTGTCCCTTAATTATACAGTGATGTATTTCCTGGCCGCATCCACCAAAATGTGTTGAGGAACTCTGTCCGGATATGGAAATATATTAGAGTGTACTTGGTAGGTACGAGGAACCATCTGAATAACGAATCTCCTAGTTTTAGCCTTAGAGTTTTCAAATTAAAGTCATAAAAGTAGAATTGTAGATGTATTGCCGCTTTTATTCAAATGTATGGTCCGTATGTACAACGGCATAATACTCTTATAATTGCGAAATCTTGTCACTTTGTTATCATAAACTGACGAAAACACATAAACCTTTTTTTTCAACTTAGAATTTGTGAAAAGTCATTAAAAATGAAATGAAACTTTGAACGTTTTTAAACTGGAATCTCATCTCAAAATAGAGATTAATGAGTAGTGTAATTAATAGAAAACCAATGTTGTTATCGCAAACAGGCTTGCACGTTGCAAATATTTTGGTCAATTTTAGTAGTTCTTTATACTTTCCGGTATTCTCTAAAATATATAATTTTCAATAGTAGCATCCTGTATGGAAAGTATTTTTGTGTAGATTTAGATTTATTCAGTCAAAAAAAAAACCCAGTAAGAACTGTATGTGACGTAGGGGGAAAAGATTATCTGCGCACTTTTTCTTGAGTTCCAGAAATCCTTCCCGTCATTGTAATTATATATAGTTGCAAGATGATTAAAATTGTAACATAAATAAATAAAAATAAATTTTAAAATCGTAAGATAAGCAATATTTCAAAAAATAGTCATTTTCGTCTCTGAGTTATAGAAAACTTATTTGCATCGGTACACGAATTGCAAGTATGATTTTCTGTATTGGTAACAAAATAGCAACTCGCCCTAACTATACTCTTACCATTACAAGTAAAAGGAGAGTTCAACAAAACGTGCGCATAGTGAAGCTACATTTACGTCCAGAAGCAAAACAAGGGACAATCTCAGCATTTGCTCAATGGATCAGGGAAACTGAACAAAAACCTGATCGAGATGGGGGTCATTGACCCGGAAGTTGAAGTACATTATTTGTTACAAACCTATTAAGTCTTTTAGAAAAATATACAATAATGTGAACTAATTCATTATATATCACTGTTTTGTTAAAATAAACATTATTTTTCCTTTTGATAATCAGTATAGCCTCTAATTGTATAGAAACAGTTATGCAGCAGACTAGATTTTACTTGTTGCGTTGCGTTGTAAAGTAACGTACATGTATTGTATGTGGATTTCTGATAGTGAGCTGTTGATACTGAGACTTTATGAACGTGATTTTTACGACGTGTGTTGTAATTATAAATATCAGTATTGCATGAAAATACGTTCCCACCGTTAAGTAAGTCACTTTTGACAAATATTACAGATTCATAAATATATAGGCAAGGCAGTGGTAAGATTCCAAGCTCAATGAAGAGAGGCTTGCAAGGGTAACGCGGATGGCATTTTTTCATTATTCGAATAATTTTCTTTTGCAATCTAAAGGTCTGAGTATTACATGAGTTTCTCCAGAATTTTATATCATATCTCAGGCGGGAATGTACTGTGACGTAGTGAAATAAGAAATAAATTTCAATAACAAAAGAAAAATAATATATTAAAGATTATGTACAAGTTACAATGAATTGCTAATTTTAAAACACTCCGGCAATCTTTTCCTTTCAATACCCTGCTTTACCGCAGAAAAATACAAGCCACGCGTGATACGAGCTGTCGGACATCCGTCCCGTGACAATTACCGTCACATGGCCTGACGCCAAAATTTAACCCGGTCGTGGCGACCGTGTGCCTACAGCACGCGAGATCGTCTGGCCCTTACTCTCCGGACATCTCGCCCTCACTCCTACACACCTTGTACATACACGTACAAGCTCCCCGATGCAAACTGAATGAGAACGCGGGCGCAGATGGCGCCGCGTTAAATAGTTGAGGCTGACACCCCCACCACTGTTCCATAGATAGGCTCGCCGGCTGGCGTAAGCGAGGCTCGCTGGCTAGCATTCTCGGAGTTTACAGCCTACGGTATTTTTGGCTCTGCGGCTCTACCTGAGTCAACCGCCAGAGCGCAAACTCCCGGAAGTTCAGGCTCAACCCCTTCCTCCCCCGCAGCGTACTTTCACCGACCTAACGGTTCTGGCCCTCGTGTTAACGACGCCACAGTACATTTGCAAAATACACGCAATGAGCTGCGTGAAGGCTGACAGAATTTGATAGAATTCTGAATGCGTTACATAATGAATTTAATTTAGTGTTTAATTTTCTTATATGTACATTCCATTTGAGGTTTGACTGAATTGACAGAACTAGAAATTTTGTTACCTGAACATCACATTGATTCTGGCTACACGACGTATTAGAGGATTTGTTTTTCTCTACTTAGCAACAGAATTTTTCCACTTTTTCGTTACCGGGGCAATAAGAGTTTTTCTGCCGAAAATTCGTCGTTTTCCTGTGCATAATTACATAACTTTCTCTTCTTACGAAGTACCTTCGTAAGGGCAAGAAAGTATTATGCATTTCCATGAGTCCCATACAGAGATTCAATGATGGAGGCACATTGTCGCAGTGTCAACGCGATATAATGCGTTTGTACAAAACGACATATTTTACTTTCTTGTATAAGCTGCTTCCATAGTCTTTGAAAGTATTCCTATAATTGACCTGCGTTTTTCATTTTGTCCGTTTACTGAACACACCTCTAACGAATGTCATTGACCTTCTGTCAGAAGGAATGCATACTGCTCTCTCACCGTGTCAATGAAATTCACTTACTTGAATATCCACTTTTCTTTTTCAGAAAATGGAATTTTTGACAGAAATCTCTGACATATTATACGAATGGGTGAAGCAAGAAAACCAGCTGAACACGGATGAAATGGCTCAAATCGCAGTGCATGGCATGGTGTGCCGACCGCCGCCTGGCAACTGCGCCTCGCTTAATAATCCAGGCACAAATTGCTGCATGTAGAACTGCGACATTTCATGAAGGTTTTGCCCACTCATGTGATATTTGTTGTAATACTTTGTATTTTGTATTTTTACGATGAATTGCAACCTTGGAGAGAATGGATAATTTCTTGTTAATCTTGAAGATTTTTCAATGACATTTAAAGGAACCATTATGTAAATAAAATATCATTTCTTTGTAATCTAAAAATTATTTCTGATCATATTTAACTCTCTGACAATAACAGAGACAATAATAGAATCTTACTAAACTTTCCTATCCCTATGGAGGCAGATGCCTTCCGACTTTGCATGCCTTGGCTTTATCAACCTCTTAAAAGAGTTACTGGATTAGATATTGAATGTAACACAATTCTGAAATAAATTTAAACTGATTCAAAAAAGCTAATAACAAAAGGATGTAACTTCTTGTTGACGTGAGGTTCAGATTGTTTTCGCATTTTTGTTTATTGTTTCAACAAAATCAAAATGTTTTAAATATTACATAATTGTCCTGTTTTATTAACGGGTAAAAAGTTCCATGGGAGGTGACTGTCTAATAACAAGGACTTGATGAATATGTTTCGCCAACAGAAGGAAGTACCCCCAGCGCTGCTGATTCGTTTCAGTACGTCCTCCCCACCAGTCGTTTGGATGATTAACGCTGTTGTGGTGATGGGCGATGACATTCATCGGTGCGAGAATTGGTCCGGGTGGCCTCTCTCTGGCCGCCCGGCCGCGATACGCGAGCGATGTGCAAGGAGCGTCTCGTCTTCCACCTTTCAACTTTCAACTTTCTTGTCCTGTCCTTGGGCTCGAGAGCCCGCGACGGGCCTCAGCCAACCTGCGGTGGTGACCCAGCCTCTCGACCATGGGATAAGGGGTTCGTACGGTTACCACGAAGACATCCCTCCATCGTGTATTCTGGACTTCCTATCCGTAGGGTGGGCTTTCTCATCGTCACTCAGCAATAAATACTGGGACATTTATAAGGAAAGCGCACAGTTATCATTTTGCCCCGGCCGGGAATCGAACCTAAGGTTGCGCAGTGGAACGCGAGCACGGCAACCAACGAGCCACTGAGGGCACCTGCTCAACTACATGACGAAAATTGCCTGATAGACCTTGTATGCGCCTCACGCTTTGAACTATACGCGGCAATGGATCAACACCAGTTCAGTTCATATCTCCCCACCGAAAATGCCCAGAATAATGCTGCGAATGAATAGAATAAACGAATAGAATGGCATGACTGCAGATGATCAATTGAAGCAAAAAAATCTATCGTAATAATGAGCTGTGGGTGTTCAAGAATTTTAATCTACAGTCGCCAGGACGCTGAGCTTCCATATATTACATTGTTAACCTCTCCGAAACCCACTAAAGGTTCGGTATCCCTTATCTCAGTTTGTCAACGTTCTAGCCTTGCCGATTTGTCAATAAATGTCTCCTCACAGAGGCTGACTGACTAGACTATAAACAGAACAGTTTAGTTTCGATATAATATCACTGAGCTAATTTAATTACTGAAAGATTTATTGTATTTGTGTGGCGAGTGACGATTTCGTTGATTTGAACGTTACGAGGGCGGTGTAACGAGTTGTTTTGAATTTGCGTTTCAAATCTTATTCTATATTTTTAAGACAAATTTTCAGTTATTATCTTTTATCTATTTACGGTATAGTCTACTGGTTGTATTAAACAGTTGCAGTTTAGGTGGACGAAAATCAACGTAACATTACCAAATTTCTTCTTCTTTTTTAATTTATTACAGCTTTTCAACTTCCTTAAGGAAGTTATTTGCTCTTCTTAATTTGTTCATTACAACACACTTATACATACATTGATTATGTATTTTACATTACATTATAGCTTTTTCATTAAAAAAGAAGGTATCAATATATCAACATTTGAACAATTCAATGTATTAATCTTATACTTTTATTTTACATGATAAAAGAATGCATAAATGTATTTCATATCTCTACTATTGGTTTGGCCAAGAAACATTTTGACATCTAATGGTAAAAATATTTTAATCTTCTTCAATCTTTTAATTAGATATTCCCTTTCCACTTTATATACTTTACATTGCTATATTACATTGTTAAGATTCTGATTATAGTGTAGTATCTGCACGAGTATGTTGGATCAGATGTTAATTTAACTCTAAGTAATGAAGAGTTTTAACTATAATGTCCAGCTCTATCTCAGTTCACCATTGAAGCAAAATCCCTCTCAATAGATTTCCCATGAAACCAAGGTCCCTCTGCTTTATAAAATGATGAAAAGTATTCTTTGCCTTTGGTGTTAGCTGCTTGCTTAATACTTATAAACGTTTCCTTCTTAGCACTGCTCTTAAAAATATTATGTAAGTCAGTATAAGGTATTTTTAGTTTTGAAGATATTTTAAATGTAGCATTTTTTGCCAACATGTCAGACATTTCATTTCCAATAATTGCTTTGTGTGCAGATATCCATACAATATTAACCTTAACCTGCATTGTCTGCATGAAATTCCTTTAACTACTTTTTGATATCTAGTAAATAATAGTTAGACCTTATATTTACTGACTTTTTAAAAGTTAATAGCACAGTAAGGGAATTAATATCTTTGTCTCTGTATTCCAAAGATATTTCCAAAGCGTCTATAATTGCTATACATTCTGCTATAAAAATTGATGCATATGGATGCACACTTTTAATGACTTGAATATTGATATCTGGATAGACACACTCAGTTCCAACTGCTTTGGCATCCTTAACTTTACTTCCATAAGTAAAAAATTATACTCTTAATTAATAATTTAATACATATTTTACACCATCCTCAATTATCATTAATACAGATTCTGCAAACAGTACGTTAGTGGGAGTACTATTCCTGTATCCTAAGGTTACTCTGATTGCGAATCGTTAAGTGACTATTTTAAACTTTTCATTTGCTAATTTTCGGATTCAACACTCGCATGTAATAAGGCCAAGAAATATAATTTTATTCATGGGGAAACACTCGGTTTTGAAATATATTTAAATGTGAATGAGTGTCAATAGTTTGATATTTTGGGGAAGTGTTCCTATGTTATGTCATGTTGATTGAGAGGAGTGGCGACGACACTAGACTTCGCCAGGGGTAAACAAATGACATCGACATTTGGTGGTGACAGTTGTCAAAAGAAGAGATTTTGTATTTTTCTTTAAAATCGGGATAAACGGGGAATTTCGTGTATAAATTATATGATTATAGATTTTCCCCTTTTCTGTTTAGAAACAGTTTCCGACCTTACGACCAAAGACATTTTCCACGACATCTCAGTATTTTCCATCACATGCTGGGCCTTTTGTTTACAAAATAAAATATTTCAGGGTGAGATGTAATATATTTGTCTTCTAAAGCTTAATATGTGTTGATACCCCAGTTTTGCCTGCTTTAATGCACGTAACAATTGCACTGGTGTTAATATCAAATTCTTTAAGTTTTTCAATTAATATACATTTTGATATAATTGGACAGACATTTGAAAATATTCCTCTGGTTTTTGTGGTCAGAGGTCATATTTTCAGATCATGATTTTTAATCTTTATTTTGCCACTTCCTTCTTTGGTTACTTTATCTGCTACACTTGGATTGGCAAGGTGTATAAACATATTCTCCTTTGAGAAATACGAGACACGTACCGCACATTTTCAGGACCCAGTATGTGTCCGAGTGTTACAGTATATTCTTGCACATTTATTCCATTCACTGAATCAATAATTATGGCACTTTCTTTCTTTGGTTACATGCTATCCTGTAGGGCGTTGGCATACAATTTCTTTTGGCGCTCTGGTGTCACTTAGTTGGCTTTTATTACATTTGGATGATCCATTTTCTCAGATTATTAGTGGGAGGCAGATTAACTGCCCCCGTTTCGTGTAAATTTTGCTGTTCTTTAATTGAATGACACACTATTACTTCACAAACAGTTTAAATAGAAAAACGGGAATATTCATTTAATCTAATCTTGTTAGAAACTCGTCGCACATCACCGATCCGTACCAGGGGGTGGTTTGAACTTGACCGTTGCCCAATTTCGTAAGTACTAGCTTACAATTGATTTGGTAGATAGCATACCTTCTCAATCTTGTATTGAATATTAATTTTTAATTTATCGAATACACATCAGTCTTTCACTTTTAAAATATTAAGGTAGGTACTTGTTGCCTTTATCTGAGTTTTCTTGTATTCATTTCAATTTTATCACGTACATTTTATCATACACACTTATTCTCGATTTATCACACACATGAACAATAATTTAGATATATGTATCCGAAGTTTGGAAGAGGTCATTCTCTACACTGACGGATGGCTACAAGTTAGAAACACTGCGTATCTTTCCAACCGTGCACCAGTAACTGCACAACGGCACAAACACCACATTCAACTGTAACTCAAAACAAATTTAGTGTTTTAGATTATGAAACCCTCGGGCATGGCTCTGCTACTGGGCGGGTTCGCAAGGTGGTGGAGAGTGGAACGCTCAGCAGATATGGAATGACCGGAATCCCCTGAACCAAGGCAACTAGGTTATCAGAATGTGGGGGGCGGGGTACTTCGTGGCGGAACTACACTCATTAAAGACCACCACTGCACGATAACAACGTAGTGTCGTGGCGAATAAGCACCGCCAGTAAATAAGTGCTGCCCCCGCTGTCGCTTTGTGCGTAGGGATTAGTCTAAAGGCTAAGGGAAGGAAACCCTGACAGGAAGACCATGGGCGAAGAGTGCCCTGAAAGGTGAAGTCAACCTCTCTAGGGGAGTTAACTCAACACAAATCTCGGTCCTTCAGATTGGAGGTTGGAGCGGAGAGGGCTAGTAACCCATCCACCGTAAAATAACACGATTACTTTGACCACAGAAACGGCCTCGGATACGGAAATACGACTATGGCAAAGAAAGCTGGAAAACTTAATTGATTAACGAATTATTTGAAAGTAGCCACCTGGAATGTAAGAGGAATTGACAATGTACAGATATTGTAAACATCTGGATGAAGTCACGACAGACAAAG